CAGGTAAGGATTGAGAAGAAATATACAGAAGACACAAAAGTTGGTTGAAAGATGGGCAGCTATATACCTGTGTTTCCCCGAAAATAAGACAGGATCTTATTTTCTTTTGACCCCCGAAATAAGCACTTGGCTTTGAAGACGCGGCACGCCGTTTAAAAGCGTGATGATGCAAGACGCATTTCCTTTCCTGTCAACACGAAAGATTAAAAATGAAGACCATTCTCAGTAACCAAACAGTTGACATTCCTGAAAAAGTCAACATTATCCTGAAGGGGCGGACAGTTACTGTCAAAGGCCCCAGAGGAACTTTGAAAAGGGATTCCAACCACATCAATGTGGAACTCTCCCTTTTGGGGAAAAACGCAAGAGGCTGCGTGTTGACAAGTGGTGGGGTAACAGAAAGGAGTTGGCAACCATTCACACAATTTGCAGTCAGGTGCAAAACATGATCAAGGGAGTGACATTGGGCTTTCGTTATAAGATGACGTCTGTGTATGCCCACTTCCCCATCAATGTCGTTATGCAAGAGAATGGCTCCCTGGTCGAGATCCGTAACTTCCTTGGGGAGAAATATATCCGACGAGTACGGATGAGGCAAGGCGTTAATTGTGCAGTGTCGCAAGCTCAGAAGGATGAACTGATCCTTGAAGGAAACGACGTTGAATTGGTATCTAACTCGGCTGCCTTGATCCAGTAAGCCACAACTGTCAAGAATAAAGATATCAGAAAATTCTTGGATGGTATCTATGTCTCTGAGAAGGGAACAGTACAACAAGCCGATGAATAAAACCCCATCCTGAAATGGCAATCTGGGAACATGACACATCTTGCATTTGGAAGTTTTTTATTTGAACTGAAGAGTTTCAGGTTGTTTTGAGAAAATAAAACCATAATCTTTCAATATCCTGTACTTTGTGATTGAGCAGGGAATAGCTATAACTCCCTGTTAATTTTGAAAATGGAGTGCTCAGTTGCCCATTACAACACAAACATGGTAAGATAAATATCTTTAGGTTGAATTGTGAGCCTTTTCAAGTTTTTCGTACACTTTAGGAGCTACATGCAAGAGTCTCGCACGATAAGACACTGGAGTAACGTCGTTTATCTTTATTTAGTCCATTTGAAATCTGGAATTGGTTTAACTCAAATCATTAGATATTTCAAGTCTTTTTCCAAAACTTCACTTGTTTCTTATTTTGGAAACTGAATTAGAAGCTACAGCACTTGGCCTTATTTTCAGGGAGGTCTTATTATTTTTGAGGTGCAGGACGCAGCAAGTGTGGTCACCTCATGGATGCTGTTGTGTTGCAATATTTTCGGGGAGGGGTTATTTGGGGAGGGGTGGCTTATTTTAGCTCGTACACTCAAAAGCCCAATTGTGCTTATTATCCAGGGAGGTCTTATTTTCGGGAAAACAGGATAAATGTAATAAATAAATAAATACAAGTTCTATTTCTGTAAATAACATCAGTTTTTGAAAAAGGACTAATGTGGTGCTGTAAAGAGAAATGGCAGCATGTCCTAACTCTTAATCTAAAAATTCCAAAGTGTCCACTACTCTTGGCAGGAAGAATGGTTGCAGGAACTAGGTATGTCTAGTTTAATGAAAAGAAGGACTAGGGAGACATGATAGCAGTGTTCCAATATCTCAGGGGTTGCCACAAAGAAGGGGAGTCAAACTATTCTCCAAGGCACCTGAGGGTAGAACATGAAGCAATGAGTGGAAAATAATCAAGGAGAGAAGCAACTTAGAACTGAGGAGAAATTTCCTGACAGTTAGAACAATTAATCAGTGGAACAGCTTGCCTCCAGAAG